AAACAAAAGAGAACACTTCCTCTTCTCTACCTTTTAATATCACAGGACCCCCTATGTAAAGCCAGGTTAATCTCTGGTTCCCTGGTCAACCATATTTAGGAATACGATGTCTCATTGGCTGGTTTAAGGCTACGTGGTTCTTGATCTCTCTTTTCCTTTAGTGAACAGCTGCCCAGTCCTCTGCCTTTCTGCCCCTACCCCCATCCACACTTGTGTCCCAAAGGTCAGGTCTCACCCCTCCCAAGGTCAGGTCTGGTGAGCAACAGGTGCAGCCAGAGCTCCCTGCACAGGCACAGTGACTGGTAGTAGCTGGCAGTGGGTGTCCAGAGAGTCCTGCTGGAAGGGTAGGGGGAGCTTGAGCATGAAGACAACCAACTCAACTCACCCCCTACATGGTTTTTATCCAGGCAAGGGATGAGAAGTGCAGAAAAGGAAGTGCTGGGGTGCTGAATTAGATGGTACGTGAGAGATGTCCAAACCCAGAGGCTTGAGGGCATTGGGCCAGCAGACATTGTTCATCACCCACCTTGTTGGTGCAAGAATTGAACCCCAAACTGGGAAGAAGAGGGAGTGTTCTTAACTGATGGGCCATCACTCCAGCCTCTGTAATGGCTGAACTTGATTGTCAGCTTGACACACCTGGGGAGGGAGAATCTCAGCTGAAGGATTGCGTGCTTCGTATTGGCCTGTGGACACATCTCTTGGGCATTTGCTTTTGTTTCTTCTTTCTCTTTCCTTTCATTGTTTTTTTTGAGAAGTGGATCCTTTGTGTATCTCTGGCTATCCAGGAACTCACTCTGTAGACCAGGTTGGCCTCAAACTCAGATATTCTCCTGCCTCTGGCTCATGAGTGCTGACATTATAGGCACTAAAGGGGTACACCACCACCACCACCATCTGGCTACATTCCCAGTTTTCAAATGGAGTTTGAAGCCTAGTAAGATGCAGCCTACAATGCAAGCTTGTAGACCTATGTAAATTTCCTGAGTCCTATTAAAAGGTAGAGGGAGAGAAATGACTCTGCAGTTTTCTCTCACCTCCACATGAGAACACAAGGGATCTCTGTCCCTCTGTCTCTGTCTCTGTCTGTCAGGGACAAGGATAGAATTTCTAGTTAGTGGAAAAATACAGACCCCCATAAGACAGGGAACTAGATCATCTTACAGTCAGGTTGCCTAGCAACAGGACATTGAGGCAGAGCCCTTGACCCTTTCACCCTGTAAACATCCCATACAAACATCCTGATAGCTTGCCCCACCTTATGCAGATGACAGCTTCTTGCTCCCCCCACCCTGAAGAAACTATATAAACCCTCTTGGAGAAAAATAAAGTTGCACCTTGATCAGAATCTAGACTTGGTATATTTCCTTGTATCTCCTGTCTCTATCATTCCGTCCTTAGGGTGGTCGAGAACCCGTTGTATCCCTGCAGGCGGGGCATCTGTCTCTCTCAAAACACATACATATTAATTAAACAGTTAATTACAGATCGAATTTGTAACTGGATATATCTCATAAGTTGTGTGAGATTCTTAGGACAGACTTACCATGTGGTATATACAGTAAACATGAAGTATTGTTGAGGCCAGCTACTCCTGCCTGGGACCACCTATCTTATGACCTCAAGGCATCCATGCGGAAGGGACTTGGCACTTTGCCAGTCACTGACTTGAGCTGGTTGGGTGTTGAGCTAGCCCTTTCTCTTTGTCTCTGCGACAGCACTGATTCAGGCTCTGTCACCATCTACAGTGGCTCTGCAGGTCAGGACTGTGTGTGAGGGTGCACATATTCTACTTCTGTGCTACACACACAGTAGTCACAGGCCCCGTGTGCTGACTGGACACTGTCAGAGCACAGCTACAGGACTATAAAGAGAAGTCACTGAGTCCTCTCCTCAATCAGGATAAAACTCCTTTGCTGGTTGCTCTGCTCACAAGTGGGACCCTTGTCCCATTTGAGTGTCCCCCAAGTCTCTTGTGTTCAATGCACAGCCCTGCTGGTCACACCTGAAGTTCTGGTTTGGGGTTTCTGATGGGTTCTAATAGTCTCTGGGTTGGGGTTCCCTCCCCGACCATGTTTACAACACCTGGCATGTTTAGCCTCTAGGTCTGAACTCAGATGACTCCTGAGAAAAGTCCACTACATTCACCGACCCAAGCACAGAAAGCCCCTTCAGCCTCTGCCATATTGCCCTGGACCCATTTCCTTTGCTCTAAGTTGCCCTGTGCTGTGGGATGTTCTATATGGCAAATGTGTTGCTGATTAGTCAATAAATAAAACATTGATTGGCCATTGGCTAGGCAGGAAGTGTAGGCGGGACAAGGAGGAGAATAAAGCTGGGAAGTGGAAGGCTGAGTGAGAGAGACACTGCCAGCCACCACGATGACAAACAGCATGTGAAGATGCCGGTAAGCCACGAGCCACGAGCCATGTGGCAAGGTATAGATTAATGGAAATGGATTAATTTAAGCTGTAAGAACAGTTAGCAAGAAGCCTGCCACGGCCATACAGTTTGTAACCAATATAAGTCTCTGTGTTTACTTGGTCGGGTCTGAGTGGCTGTGGGACTGGCAGGTGAGAGAGATTTGTCCTGACTGTGGGCCAGGCAGGAAAACTCTAGCTACAAGTCTGGTTGCTGTGGAACAATCTTTGTACACTAAATAGGTATTGCTCTCATGATTAATAATAGCTGATGGGCCAATAGCTAAGCAGGATTTTCAGGCAGAGAGAATGCTGGGAAGAAGGAGACAGAGGAGTCTCCAGAGACACAGAGAGAAGCAAGATGAATGTGCCGTGTTGAAAGAAGGTACTACCACATGGCAGAGGGTAGATAAGTAATATGGATTAATTTAAAATATAAGAGTAAGCTGAGCTATTGACGGAGCATTTATAATTAATAATAACTCTTTGTGTGGATATTTGGGAAGTCAACTGTCCTGACAAAAAACTTCACCTACAGCAGGGTTTCTAAATAAACAGGACACTCACCTTTAGCTAGCCTGACTGACCAACAAATTTTGGGGATCTGTGCTCCACACATTCCCATACAGTTACAGATGCCCCAACCATGTCTTACTTTTTAAAAATATACTTAATTTTATTTTATGTACAATGGCTCGAGTGTTTCAGATGCCCTGATTGTGAGCTGCCATGTGGGTGCTGAGAATTGAACCCGGGTACTCTGAAAGAGCAGACAGAGCTCTAAACTGCTGAGCTATTTCTCCAGTCCCACATCTTGCTTTTTACATGGTCTCTGGGCATCCTAGGTCAGGCCCTCATGCTTGTATGGCAACCACTTTACCAACTGTGCCGTCTCCCCAGCCACAACAACTAATGTTCTTATGATAAGAGTGTTCCAGCAGTTTGGACAACCCAATGTACTTTCCTGTGCTTTGACTCTCAACCCCAAGTCTATACTGATGGGAGGGCCACCGGTTTTTTTGGATACAAATCGTATGGAGCAGGGTCATGGACTCCACTCGAACTTCCTTTCGTGTTTCTCTGCAGGCAAAAATAACCCCTGTGAAGACTTCATCTGCAACAGTGACTACCAGGCCGCCATCTGCTTCTCCAAGGCTCCATACAACAAGTAGCACAAATGTGTTCACTGTTAGACTTATCACCTCAGTTACTGACTACACCATCCCCACCTCCCTGGTTGTCTTCATTATAGACTATACCCTCTAATAAAGAACCTATTGAAAGAACTCATTTTGGTGATTGTATTCTCTGTCTACCAGACATAACTAGATTCTCAGAGAACATCATTTTGTTTAGTCTTGGGGGCTGAAGATTATTGGAGAGACATTGCCATTAGGGGAGCGCCTTGAGGAGTGAGTGATGAGCCTGGCCATGCCATTGATCTCAGCACTCTGATATACAGAATAGGCATAGGCAAGCAAATCTCTTGAGTTCAAGGCCAACCTGGACTAAAAAGCAAGTTCCAGGACAGGCAGGACTATTATACAAGCAAACCCTGTCTCATAAAACAACTACAACAAAAGAAAACTCAGCCTGAGATATGTAGGGTGTTAAGGGCAGACAGAAGGGGAAGGGCAGGGGTAGATGAGGCAGGGATGGGGACAGGAAAGAAGTGTAGGGGTGGGGAGTGAAAAAAAATAGAAGACAGATATGTAGGAGGGAAGAGAAAAATGCAGTGTCACATGGGCACTAAAGGAACATCTTGTCCCCAAAAATACTAGACTCAAAGCACTTCTCTGTGTGCTCATCATAAGAAGTTGGATATAAAAAAAAAAAAGAAGTTGGATATAGGAAACCAATGTGGACTGAGAGTAAATGACCTGAAGGCAGGATTATATCCTGGTGACCTCCCAGTCTTCACTGTGCCTAAACACACAAGCCATGGGATAGTGTCCCAGTAAAGTGCACAGCAGCCTAACTTTTTACAACAAACAAAACAGAGGACTTCCTCTCTCCACCTTTCCATAGCATGGGACCTGGCAGGTAAAGCAAGGTTAAACTCTGGTTACTTTGGCAAAGCAGATTTAGGAATAAGATGTCTCATTGGCTGGTTTAAGGCTACGTGGTTCTCTGTCACTCTTTTCTTTAGTGAACAACTGCCCAGTTCTCTGCCTTTCCACCCCCACCCCCATCCTCACTCCCCTTCCAAGGCCAGACCTGGTGAGCAACAGAGCAGCCTATGCAGTTGTAGTGACTGGTAGTGACTGTCCAGAGTCCTGCTGGAAGGGTAGGGGGATCTTGAGCATGGAGTCAACCAACTCAACTCAAACCCTACATGGTTTTTATCCAGGGAAGAGGTGAAAAGTGGAGAAAGGAGGTGCTAGGGTGCTAAGTTAGAGGGTACATGAGCAATAACTAGACACAGAGGCCAGAGGGCATTGGGACAGCAGACACTGTATGCCAGCCACCTTGTAGTTGTTGAGAATTGAACTCCATTCCTCAGGAAGAACAGAAAGTGCTCTTAATCATAGGGAGCAGGGTCATGGGCTCCACTCAACTTCCTTTCTTGTTTCTCTGCAGACAAAAACAACCCCTGTGAGGCCTTCATCTGCAACTGTGACTGCGAGACTGCCATCTGCTTCTCCCAAGCTCCATACAACAAGAATTACAAAGGCAAATACTGTTAGACTTGTCACCTCACTGACTGCCTACACCATCCCTGCCTGCCTGGTTGTCTTCACTACACACTGTGCCCGCTAATAAAACACCTGTTGAAAGAGCTTGACTTTGGTGATTGTAGTCTCTGTCTACCGATGTAAATAGATTCTCAGAGAACATCATTCTGTCTAGTCCTGGGAGCTGAAGTATAATGGGAAAGATGTTTCTAGGAAGCAAGCACCTTGAAGGGTCATTTGTGAGCCCATTCATACCTTTCATCCCAGCATTTTGTGAGCCACCATGTGGGCGCTGGGAATTGAACTCAGGACCTCTGGAAGAGCAGTCGGTGGTCTTAACATCTGAGCTATCTCTCCAGTCCCCTTGTTTTGTTTTTTATTATTTTTGTTTATTTGTTTCCAGACAAGGATTCTCTGTGTAGCCCTAGGTTTCCTGGAACTCTTTCAGGAGACCATGCTCACCTCAAACACAGATCCATCTGCATCTGCCTCCCAAGTACTGGGATTAATGGTGGACATCACCACACCCGACAGAAGTTGCTTTCCATAAATATATGTTTAATAGAAGTCATACATTCTGATGTCTCAGGACAATTTCTTCTGGAACATAGTGTTTTAAGTTATCCTGACATGTTTGAGAAGGACTGCAGGTGAGAACTGACCTCCTGTGGGTCCACACTCCTCCCTCAGCTCTTCCTTCCTCTCTCCAGATGCTGCCAGACTCGTGACAACTGCCGTGACCAGGTCAAGAAGCTGGAAAGCTTCAGATCCCTCATAGATGACCCCTACACCAGCTTATACTCAGACTCGTGCTCTGGGAATGAGATCACCTGCAGTAGTAGGTTTACACTTCAGGACATCTGGACTCTGCTTGGCCCTGGGCAGGTTTGGAAGGGGCACAGAAGTAACGAGGACAGTCACCACTTATTGGTCATTTCCTTGGTCTCATTTAACCTTACAACAGCCTTATCAGCTAGATACTAAAATATAGATGAGGTCACTCATGAGGCAGGTGAGAAATCTGGGCCACTTGCTCAAGGTCACCCAGCTTAGAAGTGATGGCACTTGGTTCTAGCACACAGATCTACATCATTACAAAGTGTCTGTTTAAAAACACTTCAAGATTTTATGTATTTCTGGGGGAGGCATGCCTGTGCCACAACACATGTGCAGAGGTCTCAGGACAACTTGCAGAAGTCTGCCCTCTCTTTTTACCATGTGAGTCCTGGGGATGGAACTCGGGTTCAGACTTGGCAGCAAGGGCCTTTATTCCCTGAGCCATCTTGCCTGCCCAAAGCCTCTCCTGTTAGCTGCTGTGTTTTACTGACTCCATACTGACTAGACAATGGAGAGCTTCATCATTGTGTAAGTCAGATACTGGAGTAAACACCTGTGCAGGGCAAGATTTATCATTCCCATCTTACAGGTGAGGATTCAGAGGGCTGGGAATATAGATCAGTTGCTTGCCAGGCATGCAGAGAGGCCTGGGTTCCAACTCCAGAACTCATGATTTGTGTGGTAGTGCACACCTGTAATCCTAGCACTTGGGAGGTGGAGGCAGGAGGATTGTCTTAAATCATATAATTTTATACATGGTGGTTGATATTTGTTGTTTTTTTGGGGTTTTAGGATTAAATATAGTGTTTCTTTATTTTTATGCATAAGAATGAGTTGCTATCCCGTGTCTTCTTCAGTCACTCTCCACCATGTCTTTAGAGCCTGGGTCTCTTACTAAACATGACACTCACCTTTAGATAGTCTGACTGACAAATAAGTTTTGGGGATACATGCTCCCTACTTCCCAATAGAGTTACAGATGCCCCAAGCACATCTTGCCTTTTCAAGGGTTCTGGGCATCCTAGGTCAGGCCCTCATGGGTTCTTGGTAACTGCTTTACCAACTGTTTTGTGGGAGCCCACAAAGCTTTCCCAGTTAGAGCTGAGCTTGCTTTACATTGCAGGGCTGCATTAGGGGATGGCTGGATCACGTGCCTGGTCATCAGGTGTCTGAGATGGTCTGCACTGGGCTGTGCTGGGGGTGGTCTTTTTTGTTCCACCCCTTGGCATTCCTTTAAAAGTCCTTTGACAGAGACAGTCAGGGCCCAGTGGATTAGCATCTAGGTCCTCCCGAGGCTATCCTGTGTTTTCTGTCTCTCTCTCTCTAGCTATATTTCTATCTAATATTTCCTGCTGCTCCTGCTCAAGAGTACCCTGGGGAAAAGTAGGGGTGGGATGGCCCCCACACTGTGCCATCTCCCCAGCCACAACAAATGATTATTTTTATTATAAATGTGTTCCAACTATTTGGGCACCCAATGTACTTTTGTGTTTTTGACTCTCAACCCTGAGTCTGCACAATGGGAGGGCCACCGGTTTCTTTTGGTTATGAACCATAGGGAGCATGATCATGGGCTCCACTCAACTTTCTTTTGTAGCACAAATCTTAAAAGGTCTTATTAATAAAATCAAACCTGGAGCCAGGTATTGGGGTGAACGCTGAAAGATCAGAGAATCAGAACAAGCCACAGCTACCTCACCTTGCCAATTCCTCAGCTGATCCTTTTCCTCAGACTGGATGCCTCTCAGCTGAACTGTGCAGCTCAAAAGCCTAAAAGCTTAACCTGCTCTAGTTCCTCGTCCTCACGCCTTAAATACCTTCCTGCTTCCTGTCATCACTTCCTGGGATAAAAAAAGGCTCTTGCTACCATGCCTGGCTGTTTCCAGTGTGGCCTTGAACTCGCAGAGATCCAGGCAGATCTCTGCCTCTGGAACGCTAGGATTAAAGGCATGTGTGCCACCATTTTCTGGCCTCTATATCTAGTGGCTGTTCTGTTCTCTGACCCCAGATAAGTTTATCAGGGTGCACAATATTTTGGGGAACACAATATCACCACATCCTTTCTTGTTACTCTGCAGACAAAAACAATGCCTGTGAGGACTTCATCTGTAACTGTGACTGCCAGGCTGCCATCTGCTTCTACAACACTCCATACACCAAGCATTACAAAAGCATTCACTGTTAGACTTGTCACCTCAGTGACTGGTATACCTTCCCTGTCGGCCTAGTTCTGTTCACTACACACTGTGCCCTCTATAAAGCACCTATAGAAAGAACTCGGCTTTGGAGGTTGTATTCTCTGTCCTCAAAGAACATCATTCCATCTAGCACTGGAAGCTGAAGATTAATGGAAAAGACATTGCCATTAGGGGAGCGTCTTGAAGAGTGGGTGATGAGCTCTGTGGTGGAGAGCAAGAGGCAGAAGCAGAGTCAGGCAGATCTCTTGAGTTCAAGGCCAACCAGGTTTAAAAGTTGAGATTCTGGACAACCAGGACTATTACACCAAGAAATCCTCTCTGGAAATATGAAAAAAAAAAGGAGGAGCAGGAGGAGGAGAAGGGGATAGAAAGAGAAGGGTTGGGACAGCTGAGGCAGGAAAAAGAACAGGAAAGGAGGGAGGAGTGGGAGGGAAGGAAAGTGAAGACAGAGAGGTAGGAGGGGAGAGAAGAGAGAAAGAAGAGGTGTCACATGGGCACTGAAGGAACATCTTGGCCATAAAAATATTGGACTCACAGGGGTGAGGAGGTTGGTATACACCTTTAATTCCAGCATTCAGGACCAGAGATAGGCAAAGCTCTATAAGTTCAAGGCCAGCCTACTTTACAGATCAAGATCCAGGGGAGGCTCCAAAGCTCCAGAGAAACCCTGTCTCGGAAAAAAAACAAATCAAAACAAAACAAACAAACAAACAAACAAACAAAAAAACCCAAACTGGATTCCAAGCGCTTCTGCTGTGCGCTCATCACAGGAAGTTGGATACAGGGAAACAAATTGGACTGACTGTAAATGCCCTAAAGTCAGGATTACATCCTGTGACCTTCCAGTCTACACTGTGTCTAAACACACGCCACAGGGTAGTTGTCCCAGTAAAGTGCACAGCAGCCTAACTTTTTAAACAAACAACATAGAACAGATCATCTTCTCTAACTTTCTCTATCATGAAACCCTGTAGGTAAAGCCAGGCTAATCTCTGGTTTCCTGGTCAACCAGATTTAGGAAAAAGATTTCTCTTTGGTTAAAGGCTATGTGGTTCTTGGTCTCTCTTTTCCTTTAGTGAACATCTGCCCAGTCCTCTGACTTTCCACCCCTAACTCCATCCCCACTCCTGCCCAAAAGTCAGGCCTCACCCCTCGCATGGTCAGTTCTAGTGAGCAATAGATGCAGCTAGAGCCACCAGGGCAGGCACAGTGACCTGGAGTAGCTGGTAGTGACCGTCCAGAGTCCTGCTGGAAGGATAAGAGATCTAGATCATGGAGACAACAACTCAATTCACTACCTACTTGTTGTAAGAGTTCAGAAGTGGGAAAAAGGAGGTGCTAGGATGCTAAGTCAGTGGGTAGGTAACAGACGGCCATTCTCAGAGGCGAGAGATCCTCTGTCATGGCAAAGGCAGTTTCTGACCTAGTTGCTAACTTTTGCCATGAAGAAAGTAAACTCTATATGGAGTTTCTTTGATGCCCATCCTCTTCTCTGAAGTAGATTGGTTCTGCTGGGAGCAGACACGTCTCATTTTCATTAAAAATAAAACAAAAAAGAACCTTATGTTATTAAAACATCTTAAAAGCCGTATTCTGTAGATCTCTGAAGTGTTTGAAGATCACCTGTCTATATAAAATATATCTGCTTGACCTTAAATACATACCTCTTTAGATTCCTTAGCTGGATGCCTTCATTCTCCTGGAAAGACAAAAACAAAACCTTGCTCCAACCATAACTTTGGGGAGTTTACCTTTTGGCAAGTTATATCGGATCAAATGAAAACCATTTGTTAGTTTTATAAGTTAGTTTAGATTGAATGGTAATGCTGTTTGATGAACTATCACCTCTTCTAATCCAGAGGTCTGTCTTGTTCAAATATCATCTTTATCAATTTTGATGGTATCCATAGCTTTTCTTCTCCTGTGGAAACAAAAGCAAATCATCTTCACAATACAACACATATCCTGATTTCTAGT